AATTAGAAGGGTAAGTACTCGGAGGAGGGCTTTCTTTGCGGTGGCGCCCAATCTATGGAATGCGCTCCCCAAAGAGGTCCGCCGGCGCCATCGTTATTTGTTCTTCGGCGCCAGGCGAAGACCTTTTTATTCAGACGTTATTTTAATTGTTAATATTATTTATTTATTTTATTCTTTGGCCAGGGTGACTTAATTTATACTGTTAAATTATATTGTTTTATGGGATGTTATTTATGTATGTTTGTGAGCTGCCCTGAGACTTTGGCAAATGGGGCAGCATAGACATTTCCTAAATAAATAAATAAATAAATAAATAAATAAAGTTTGTCCCACCCACGGACAGAAAGAGGGGAGAGAAGATCGAGATCCACGTGATTTCCCCTCAAGGTTCAGAAAGGAGGGGGCAACTGAGCTGCAAGGAACTCATCGTCAGAGCTTATCTGTCGCATCGTAAATCTTGTAGCGAACAGTAATAAAACTCTTTAGTTTTATTGTCAACTGCTGTGTGAGTTAATTGGAGAAGTGAGTTACTGCCTCACGACAAGTATTCTCATTTGCTTTTGGACGTCCTGGCGGCTGCTGGCTGGGCCGTGTGTGAACAGAACGCCGACTAGGTGGATTTTTGGTCTGATCTGGCAAGGCCCCTCTTGTGTTTTCACAAGATGGGACTGAAAATAGTGCAAACCTCCTTCTGATATGAGCACGGCAAGGCCATTTGATTGTGAGTTGATCAGTGCTCAATTAGGCAAAATTAATTTGCCGTCAAACTTCCTTCTGTGATGCAAGCATGAATTCAAACTTGGCTCGATTTGAGCTTAACCTATGCTTGCCTGTTTCTGCCCCAATTCATTGTTTTAGGGGTATGTGTGCTCCTCACACCAAGGGGGCTGCCTGTTCACTTGGTGACCAAGATGAGGTGTTGATTTTCTCATTTAGGATAACTAAAGGAACACCTTTTTCCCCATATGCCTTCCCACCCCAATATCGGCAACAGAAGCCCAACTCCGGGAACCCCTTGTGAAAGACTTTAGGAGATAGAGTTCCCGGAGGAGGGCCTTCTCTGTGGCGGCGCCCTGACTGTGGAATGTGCTCCTCAGAGAGGTCCGCCTGGCGCCGTCATTATGTTTTTCGGAACCAGGTCAAGACCTTTTTATTCGATCAATATTTTAGTAAGTATTAATTGGATTTTATTAGATTTTATTGGATTTTCAGCCAGCTGACTTAATTTAGTTAATTTATTCTGATTAATGTTGTAAGCCATCCAGAGACTTAAGTAATGGATGGCATACAAATTTTATAAATAAATAAAATAAAATAAATAAATTTAAACCATCAGTGGATTGAGGGGCAAATAGGTTAAGGGCCACTAGTTCCCATGCCAAGCTGTTTGTTATGTATTTTATTAAATGCTTTTGTATTCTGTCCTCTACAAGCAACTTGCGATGGTTTACAATACAAGCAACTCAAATAAAATAAAATCAAATAAAATAAAATGAAGCATCCAATTCCAATAAATAAAATCCACCTTAAAACCAATTTAACATTAAAATAATGGGAAAATGAAAACGCTTTCGCCTGGCGCTGAAAAGAAAAAAGAGGTGGTACCAGGCGAACCTCTCTGGGCAGCGTATTTCATAACTGGGGTACCACCACAGAGAAGGCCCTTCTATGCCTTTAAATGATTTTTCCTCTGGGAAGAACATCTCATATGAAGTAAAATTTATCCTCTCTAAAATATGTTCCAAAGTCTACTACCCCCAGAATATTTCTCAGCCTTTCCCTTAAGTTAAACCTCTGAAATCTGTTAAGGTCAGGTCTGTTTTATGAGAACAGCTTTCACCATACTAATAGCTTTTCTACTGATACTACCATACCTATTTATTTATTTTTTATTTATTAAAAGTCCTAGTAAGCATTTCAGTACCTGAATAATTTCACCTGTCTTCAGTTTCTAAATGGACTCAACCAGCAATATTGGAGGTGTTAAGGAAAGAAAGGTTCCAGGAAGGCTGTGCACATATATTGAGCCCGAGGCAGGATCAGTAGCTGTGGCTGAATCTCCTCCCTCATGTGTAGACCCTTGTTCTTGAGTAGGCCCTTACTCAGGTGTATGCTCTGAGCAAAAGGGCCTTCGGGGAGCGAGGTGGGCTCTCCCACCATGGTCCGAGTGTCCCACCGGATACACTGCCATTGGTGCTTCACTGAGCCCTTGGCTGTGGGTGAAGAGTCTGGAATCATGGCTGAACTCAGGATGGGAATCCAGGGGTTGTGAAGAACTTCATGCAAGATACTACTGTCACAGGATTCCCCTTGCTGCCCTAGGTCTACTGTAGGAGAGGGCAGTTTTAAAAGATCAGAGGACTCCTCTCCCAAAGGGGTGTCTGTGTGAGCACTTTGATGTGAAGTAAGGCCTGCCTTTCAAAGGAAGGCTTTCCTGCACTCCAAGCATTTAAATGGTTTCTCCCCCGTGTGTGTCCTTTTGTGTAATGTAAGTGATGGTCTCAAAAAGAAGCTTTTTCCACACTCCAAGCACTGATATGGTTTCTCCCCTATGTGTGTGCTTTGATGTAATGTAAATAATGGCTTCAGACTGAAGCTCTTTCCACACTCCAGGCACTGAAATGGTTTCTCTCCTGTATGAATTATCTGATGACAAGTCAGGCTGTTCTTGTGCCTGAAGCTTTTTCCACACTGCAAACATTCAAATGGTTTCTCATCAGTGTGAACTCTCTGATGTGAAATAAGGAGATACTTCCGGCTAAAGCTTTTCCCACATACTAGGCATTTAAATGCGTTCCCTTCTTTGTGAATTCTCTGATGACTAGTAAGGTTTTTCTTCTGAGAATAGCTCCTTCCACACTGCAAACATTCAAATGGCTTTTCTCTTGGGTGAATTCTCCGATGTGAGGCAAGGGCACCCTTCTGGCTAAAGCTTTCTCCACACTGAAAACATTTAAATCGATTGTGTTCTGTGTGAATTATCTGATGCTTGGTGAGGTTTTTCTTGTGTCTGAAGCTCTTTCCACACTTCATGCAATGATATGGTTTCTTCCCTGTGTGAATTATGCGATGACTACCAAGGCTGCTTTTGTACTTGAAGCTCTTTCCACACTCCAGACATTCAAATGGTTTCTCATTGGAGTGAACCTTCTGATGTGAAACAAAATGATACTTCTGGGTAAAGCTTCTTCCACATTCTAAGCATTTAAATTTGCTCCCTTCTTTGTGAATTCTCTGATGACTACTAAGGTTTTTCTTCTGAGAATAGCTCTTTCCACACTTAGGACATTCAAATGGCTTCTGTCTTGTGTGAATGCTCTGATGTGAAGCAAGGGCATACTTCTGGCTAAAGCTTTTCCCACACTCAAGGCATTTAAATGGATTTTCTTCTGCATGAATTAGGCTTGTCTTATGTCCGAAGCTCTTTCCACATTCCATCATTTATATGGGTTCTCTTCTCTGTGAGTTATTTGTTGGGAATTAAAGGCTGAGCCCTGCCTAAAGGTCTTTCCACATTCCAGGCATTGAAGTGCTTTCTCCCTCATGTGCTTGAAGGATGTTCTTTCTTTCGTTTTTCTTTAGGTGTTCTCATGAGCCCAACATTCCCTTCCATATCTGGCTGTTTAACACTTTCTTAGGGCACTTGATGTGCTTTTTCCTTTGTTTTCTCTCACACTTCTCTAGCTGAAACAAAGACGAAAAAAGAGAAAAAGTACAAAGAAGGAAGGCAGTTACAAATGATGAAACTAGAACATAAATACAAAGACGGAAGGTAATTGCAAATGATGGAATCAACTTGATGTCCCTAAACTTTGGAAGGAAACACCTCCGTTCTCTAAATCTAATCAAATTTAATGCAGCAAGTAAGAGCAGAGAAAAGGACTCCAAAGAGAATTTTAAGATTCTCTTAGCCAGGAAAGCAGGTAAGAGAAATGAAAATGTTAAAGGGGACTTTTCAAAAGGAATCCTTGGCATCACTTGGTGGGAGCTCAAGAACCACACATGGAGGAATTACTCGGTTCCTCAGACTCAGAGAAAATCAAAATATTGTTCCTGTTATATTTTCTGGACATCTGACTTTTTTCCTCTTACAAGGAACCAAGGCAGCTTCAATAGCCCTCTTCCATTCCATTTGAACTTCACAACAACAACAACCAGCTAGTGGAACCAGCTGCCTGGAAAGCTGGTGGGCTCTCCCACACTGGAGACATCCAGAAAGAAACTGGGCAGCCCTCTGCGTGGGATGGAGTGACTTGGTGTCCTGCAACAGCAGGGGGTTGGACTCGATGGCCTGCGTGGCCCCTTCCAACAGCACTATTCTGTGATTCTAGGAACCCGGCCAGGTGGGCTAGGCTGAGCGAGACCAACTGGCCCAAACTCACCCAGGGAGCTTCATGGCCAAGGGGGACTAGAACCCAGATCTCCCAGGATCCCAATCCACCACTCTAACCCCCGCTCCACACCGGCCTTCCAACAAGTGAATCAGGATCACATCCAGTTCCACCCAGTGAGGCCACTGCCATCTCCACACACTGAAATTCAAGAGCACTTGCCCCTTTGATTTCAACGACAAACTTCTAGAACCACCGGGAGGGCAGGCCACGGCTTCTATAGGCCAAAGGCATGTGGCTGTTGGGCAGTACAGAAATTGAATGAATGATCTGGGAAAGAGAATGGTTCACACGCAGGCCATGAATACTCAGCCGTCAGTCAGCTGGGCTGCTGCTTGCCCTCCCTTTCAGGAGTCTGCCTTGCCCCCATAATGCCCCTGCCTCCCAGTCCGGCACTGAACTTGGCGCTTGAGCAGCTGGTCCAGCAGATACGCAACCACGCAAAGGCGTTCTGCTTCCTGGAACAGACCAGCACTGGCCCCAGTGAGAAGAGCTGCAGTCAAGTGACTTCAGGATGCTGGGCTTCAGAAGTAACTGGAAGAAACCAGCTACTGCCCAGTCACACACACCCCTTTCTCAAGGAAGGTGCTTCCTCACGGAGGAGGAAATACAGACACTCCTGCACAACAGCGATTGCGTAGACCCATTCCTGTCTGGGTTTTGACCTGGTTATGGGACCAAATCCTCCTTGAGCACTGAGGGGTGACCTTCATCAAGGCAGAGCACTACCCTGTTAGTTAGTTAGTTAGTTAGTTAGTTAGTTAGTTACAGACATTTATACCCCATCCTATCGCCAAGCACTTAGAATGGCTTACAAAATATAAAAATACAATACAAAACACCAACTATTAAAACAATATAAAACACAATGCGAAAGAGGAGGAAAAAATAGAAAGTGCGACTGTGAAGGGAAAATCCTAAAACATCTAAAACCATTGGTAATTAACATAACGGTCAAATGAAAAGGTCTTTACCTGGTGCTGGAAAGAGGATACCGTGGGCGCCAGGCGGACCTCTCTGGGGAGCAGATTCCATAGTTCTGCCTGATCACTCGTGGGCCTTTGAGGCCGTTGGCCACGGCGTTCTTCTGGATCGGCAACGTGAGCTGGGCCGTGGAGGCTCTCTGCTGCAGCGCTTCCGGTCTTCCCTGTGGGACCGACTTCAGGGAGCAGCACTGGGCGACTTTTTCTCAGCCCCTGGACAATGGAGCGCCTGAGCTTGGAGTGGGATCGTCTTGTCCCCAGTACTGTTCAACAGTCACCGTGAGGCCCTGGGAGCGATCCCGTCGCCTCCTGGCCCCACCTGAGAGTTTCCAAAACAGGGAAACACCCTTTAGGAGGAAGGACGAACAGGCTGCCCTGCCATGCTCACTTCTTGGCTAGACGTAGCCGTCCTGCTAATACCCTCCCGTCCTCAGGTAGGGGCCCTTCGATGAGCTTATGCTCTGTAGGCTGGCCGGCTCAGGCTACGCCCCACTGCCTTGGTGCCCTCGGCTGAGATGAGCCCCCCGCCCTCTTGGGGCCTTGACAGGGCAGACAGAGACCCTCCTCACCTGTTGTGCCTTTCCGACTCCCTGCACCCAAATGTGAATTGGTGCCTGTGTGCTCAGTGTCTGTGTTCCTCACTCTGCCTCCCATTCATGTCTGCAAGACGCACTTTGGTGCGCAATGGCTGTAGGCCTTGCTGTAAACATGTGGTCTATATTAGCTGGCCGTTTCCCGTGTGCTTTTGTTTGGATCGGTTTGAGGAGGTTCTGCTCCCTTCAGGCTGCTGGGAGCCTTCCTTGCAGGGGTCTCTGTGCCAGTGACTTGCTGCTGAATGCTAGCTAGTGTCCTTGTATTTGGTTGTGACAATGAAGTGCCTGCATGCAAGCAAACTGGAAGCCGGCTTCCTCAGGATTTCCTTGAGATCCCCAAACCTCTGGCCCCCAACCAGGACAATCCAGAAGCCTGGAGGAGCTGGACCCAAACTCGGGGGTCCGTAACAGCAGCCTGGGAGCAGCAGCCTGCACTAGGGGCAGCCCCACATGCGGCACGTGTAGGAGCTCAACCTGACTACTGGCAGAACGTGTAGAAAAGAGTCAAAGAGTTACGGAGCAGGGAGGCACCAGGAGGGATGCAGGGGAGAACTAGAGGTGCCTGCAGCAGGACTAGACGCCTCAAAATGCCCCTTCATTCGGAGGATGCCGCAGAGAACCATGGAAATGTTGCTTGAGGGAGCAGTTACCTTCAGGTGAGTCACCACGGCATGACAAACCTAAGAACCTACCCATCATTCCTTCCTGAAGCTGCTGCTCTCTCTCCTTTTCTTCAGGAAGGAACGAGGTTGCATCTGAGTACCAGGAGGCCGTCCTTGCGCGCAAACAAAGAGAAGAACGTTGTTTATGGCACTCAAGACTGAGACAAAACAACCAGAAATGCAAAGAAAAGTTTGCCCTTCCCCACTTCTCGCATCCCTTGCAAGAGAGATGCAGAAAGAAGGCAAGGTATTTGCAGACAACTGCAGGATGCCCCTGGAATCATCCTTCCAGTGCCTGGGGTTTACCCAGGAGAACTAAGATAACAGATAGGAATTGGTGCCACAGAGATGGCTCTTTCCTCTCACCCAAATATCAACCCAAGCAAGAAAGCCTAAGCTGGGAGAGAAGCATTCACTTAGACCAGTGATGGCAAACCTTTTAGAGACTGAGTACCCAAGCTGCAAACCAACACCCACTTATTAATAGCAAAGTGCCAACACTGCAATGGAACTTGAAAACTGAGGTTTTAGTTTAGAAAAAACAACCCACAGCGAGTCCAAGCAACTGGTAACGGACTGACAGGCCATGCAAAAGTTGGCACGAGTTGCAGATAAGGTATCACGGCTCGTGACGTCATCGCCTGGAGCCGTTACCCCTTTCCAAGCATGCACATGGCCTCTATGTGCGCTGTAATCCGATGCAGTTTACCCTGCAGCACACTCCTAACCCGAATACAGGGCTGAGATACCATTGGAAAGAGGGCGATTTTGAAAAAGCCGTCCTTGAGTAGCTTTTTCTGCACTGCTCATCATTTCTGCCCATTATAAACACATTGAAACCATCAAAAGCAGGTGGGGACACCCTGTTTTTATAACCCTAACCCTACCCTGGTGCACACCCCTACCCCTAACAAAGGGCTGAGAAACCAATGGAAAGAGGGCAATTTTGAAAAAGCCGTCCTTCAGTAGCTTTTTATGCCCTGCTCATCGTTTCTGCCCATTCCAAACACATTCCAACCATCAAAAGCATGCCAGGACAGCCCAATTTTCTAACCCTAACCCTACCTTGGAGCACACCCATAAGCCTAATGTAGGGCTCAGATACCAATAAAAACAGGATGATTTAGAAACAGCCGTCCTTCAGTAGCTTTCTCTGCACTGCCCATCATTTCCGCCCAATCTAAACAATTGCAACCATCAAAAGCATGCCAGGACACCCTGATTTTCTAACCCTAACCCTACCCTGGTGGATTATCCTAACCATAATATAAGGCTGAAATACCATTGAAAGGGGTGATTTTTAAAAAGCCTTCCTTGAGCAGGTTTTTCTTCACAGCTCATCATATCTGCCCATTCTCAATACATTCCAACCATCAAGATCATGTCAGGACACCTCCTTTTTCTAACCCTATCTCTACCCTGGTGCATTTCCCTAACCCTAATACAAGGCTGAAATACCACTGAAAGGAGTGATTTTTTAAAAATCCTTCCTTGAGCAGGTTTTTCTGCACAGCTCAAAGTATCTGCCCATTCTCAACACATTCCAACCATCAAAATCTTGCCAGGACACCTCCTTTTTCTAACTCTAACCCGACCCTGGTGGATTTTCCTAATCCTAATTGAGGTTGAAACACCACTGAAAGTGGTGGTTTTTAAAAAGCCTTCCTTGAGGTGATTTTCTGCACAGCTCATCGTATAAGCCCATTCCAAACACATTCCAACCATCAAAATCATGCCAGGGCACCTCCAGTTTCTAACCCTAGCCGTACCCTGGAGGATTTTCATAATCCTAATACATGGCTGAAATACCACTGAAAGGGGTGATTTTTTTAAAATCCTTCCTTGAGAAGCTTTTTCAGCACAGCTCAACATTGCTGCCCATTCTAAACACATTCCAACCATCACAATCATGCCAGGGCACCTCATTTTTCTAACCCTAACCGTAAGCTGGTGGATTTCCCAAATCCTAATACAGGGCTGAAATACCATTGAAAGAGTTGATTTTTAAAAAGCTTTCCTTGAGGAGCTTTATCTGCACAGCTCAAAATATCTGCCCATCTTCAACACATTACAACCAACAAAATCATGCCAGGACACCTCCTTTTTCTAACCCTAACCCTACCCTGGTGGATTTTCCTAACCCTAACATAGGGCTGAAATACCATTGTAATGTGTGATTTTTAAAAGGCCTTCCTTAAGGAGCTTTTTCTGCACAGTTTATCGTATATGCCCATTCCAAACACATTCCAACCATCAAAATTGTGCCAGGGCACCTCCTTTATCTAACCCTAGCCCTAACCTGATGCATTCCTCCAACCCTAACATAGGGCTGAAATACCATTGCAATGGGTGATTTTTAAAAAGCCTTCCTTGAGGAGCTCTTTCTGCACAGTTCAAAATATCTGCCCATTCTCAACACATTCCAACCATCAAGATCATGCCAGGACATCTCCTTTTTCTAACCCTAACTCTAACCTGGTGGATTTCCCTAACCCTAATACAGGGCTGAAATATCACTGAAAGGGGTGATTTTTAAAAATTCTTCCTTGAGGACCTGTTTCTGCACAGCCCAAAATATCTGCGCATTCTAAACACATTCCAACCATCAAGATCATGCCAGGACACCTCGTTTTTCTGACCCTAACCCGATGCATTTCCATAACCCTAACATAGGGCTGAAACACCATTGAAATGGGTGTTTTTTAAAAAGCCTTCCTTGAGCAGATTTTTCTGCACAGCTCAACGTATCTGCCCATTCTCAACAGATTCGAACCATCAAAATCATGCCAGGATGCCTCCTTTTTCTAACCCTAATCCTACCCTGGTGGATTTTCCTAACCCTAATACAGGGCTGAAATACCATTGAAAGGGGTGATTTTTAAAAAGCCTTCCTTGAGGAGCTTTTTCTGCACAGCTGATCATATATGCCCATTCTCAACACATTCCAACCATCAAAATCATGCCAGGGCACCTCCTTTTTCTAACCCTATCTCCACCCTGGTGCATTTCCCTAACCCTAATACAAGGCTGAAATACCCCTGAAAGGGGTGATTTTTTAAAAAGCCTTCCTTGAGGAGCTTTTTCTGCACAGCTCACCTCCGGGGGCGATTGGCTCCGTGGCCGCGCCGCATTGGGGGGCTCTCCGCTTCGCTTCCCCCTGCCCCCGACGCGACCTCTTGCCGACCCCTTTCCCCTCCCGCCGCACGACCCCCTCACCTCCTCTCCGCTTCCCCCTTCTCCCCTCGTAGCTAGGAAACCGATCTCACTTCCGGTCTCTGCCGCCCCAGTGACCGAGCCTGCCGCCCCTCTAGGAAGCTCGGCTCTGCTCCTTTAACCCTTGAGGGAATGAGCGCTGCCCCAACCCGGAGGCTATTCTCCCCACCGAGGCGCGCCTGGGGGCAACGTTATCACCCTTTTGACAGAGGTCAAGATGGCCCTCTACGCTGAGGCATTTTAAGTCATCCAAGCATATCCAAGAGTTGGAGGGGACCACCCAGGTGTTTCACAGGTATACCCCTTATCATATGCTGTTTTAAATTGGTTTTATGATTTTTGCATTTTGGGGAAAAAACACAGTATTTTTAATGCCTGCTTTGTGAATTAATAAGAACACGGGAAGAGCCATGCCAGGTCCAACGAGCCACACTTTCCGCTGTCAACTGTCCAGAGCATTTTGACTATTTGGTGCTTTAGACGTGAGATAAATGAAAATTAGTTATTGTGACAGTTACATGCCGCCTTTCTTCCTCTTGCAAATCATCCAACGTGGCTTATCCAACTGACAGCAATCCTTCGAGGGAAGCCTGAGAGTCCTGGACTGGCCCAAAGTTTAGTGGGGCCAGAACTCAGTCCAGCCAAGCACGCCGGCGTAGTGTTGATGTGCCATTGTGGCCCCACTTTCTCTGGGCTTGATCACTGGATCCTGGCGTTTTTCTCTCTCCAATCAAGTGGCTGAAACACCTGCCAACAGTGGTTAGCCAGGAGATCACCAGATTGCTAATCCTGCATATGTGAGCCACAAAATTACTTGAATGTCAAATTTCTTGCCATGATTCAAGCTGGGATTATTTAGAGGAACTCGGTCACTAATGTTTTGAGCATCTGTGCTGCTAGCTGGCTTCTCTTGCTAATGGCCTTCCCTTTGATCAAGAGGGGCAACTCGGTGCTTCCCATTTCAAAAAATAAAGCAGGGTTACAAAGTACAAGTTCTAGATGTGTTTATCTTCAGCACCCAAACTGTTAAAAATCTTCACACAACATTTTAGGATGCTGTGTTTTATTTTACATTTTGTTTTGTTAAATCATCCTGAGATTTTGGTAAGGGGCAGTCTAGAAAAGTTTTAAATAAATAAAATAAAATAAAATAAACAAACACACAGTTAACTTAGAGGTGTTTTTTTTTAATTGTGCAATTACCCAAACCTTACCATTAGAGAAGGGGAAAATGATAACAAAACTGCAACATTACAAATTTTTGAATAGGATTTAAAATAACTATAGCACTAGTCGCATATACAGTATATATTCCTATATTTCACTTATATTTGTATATAACAGAAAATGTGACCATTATTAAAATAATTATGCATGGACATCAACAAAGGTACCTCAATTTACAGATTATGCCTAAAGGCCACCTATTCAAAAACTGAAAGTTTAATTAAAACTATTGAGTTAGGGAAGGGGCTGTTTATTCTTCCAGCATTGTAATATTAGTCTTTTAGCAGTCAAAAGGATGCAGAAAATCCATTTATGTTGACCTTGTGCTACTTTCTAAGTGATTCAAAAGAATGTGTTTATCTGTGAATAATACCAAACTTTCCATCACAAGATTTAGGAAGTTTGCTGCCACAAGATGTGGTGATGGACTGAAATTTGGATATATTTTGTATCAATGTGGGAACAGTGCATTTTCCCTGCAGTCCAGCTGAAATTTGATGATGGCCCTTTAGCTGCATCGGCCGCAGTTGTATGTTGGCCTTGAGACCCAATCCCAGGAAAGCCTCCCAGAAAAGAAAACCAAGAGGAGCCACCTCCAGTCTGAGAAAGTCCAGCTCAACACCCATCTTGCTAGAGGGTGCCCAAAATGGGAAACTTTTTATTTATGTATTCTTTTTTCTGTAAAACCTAATAGCCAAGGCTCTCTAGGCAGTTCATGGAACCTTAAATACAACATAATTAAACAAAGCATAAACATAATAAAAGTTGAAAGAAACATAAACCTAAAAACATAAGAAACCACATTTTAAAACAAACTGAAAATGTGGGCCAAGAAACTGGTCCCACAGCACTTCAAAGTAACCAAGCAAGCTTTTCCAAGAAGGGTTCCATAACCAGGCTGTTATTGCCAAAAAGTCCCCCTCCTTGATAGCCTGACTTCATTTGCTTCATGTAACCTGCTACAAGTGTGACAGGCACCCTCATTGTTCATTTCCATCACTAGGTAAAGACATTTTTATTTCCTACCTGTTTTTAGTATTATTTAAGGTCTTATTATGTATTTCTCACTGCTTGCTTTTATTTGTCATGTGCATTGTCTCCTGTTCCCATGTTAACTACTTCTATGATGTTGGATTATTAGTTTTTTAATTGGTTGATTTTATTCTGTA